CTATGTTATAAAATATTTGAGGGCATTTAAAAGTCTACAGCATATTTGGGCAACACCAGATTTAGTATGGCTAAAACTATGGTACAATCGGGAGAGTAACAGGCTTAAAGCTGGGGCCACACTAATAGATGTCATACATCATGATTAGGCACTTCACCTTTATCAAGATAGCAAATGGTCATCAGCATAGCTTTCTAGGAATGCTGCTATGTTAGAACTGGATTTATATTTTTAAGGATAACTGACAACAGTACAGAACATTTGTATGGTGAGAAGAATGTATCAGTATAGGGTACTAACTTAAAAAATTGTTGAAATAATATTGGTGGAAGAAGATAAAGGCAATGGGGGTAGAGAGATAGGGATGGATTCATAGTCTGTTCTTTAAGACTTGATAATGGATTAGATGCAAGGACAAAGAATAATGAAGTCTGGAGGAACGTTGGAGATAGGTAGATAATGATAACTCTATAATCTAAAATGAGAAAGACAGAAAGAAGAGTAGACTTCTTTTGGGGGGAGTCAGGTTAAGGGGAAGAGAGAGTGAGCTCAGGAGTTACTGTGTTAAGAGCATGTACTCTAATCCAATCAAGAAAATGGGCAAAGGACGTAAATAGACACTTTTCGAAAGAAGACATACAGAAGGCTGAGAGACATATGAAAACATGTTCGAAGTCACTAATCATCTGGCAAATGCAAATAAAAACAACATGAGGTACCAACTCACACCTGTCAGAATGGCTATCATCAAAAAATCAACAAATGACAAATGCTGGAGAGAATGCGGAGAAAAAGAACCCCTTGTGCACTGCTAGTGGGAATGCAGACTGGTGCAGCCACTGTGGAGAACAGTATGGCATTTCCTCAAAAAATTAAAAATGGAACTCCCATTTGACCCAGTAATCCCACTTCTAGGAATATATCCCGAGAAAACAGAAACACCAATCAGAAAGGATATATGCACCCCTATGTTCATAGCAGCACAATTTACAATAGTTAAGATTTGGAAACAGCCTAAGTGCCCATCAGCAGATGAGTGGATTAGAAAACTGTGGCACATCTGCAAAATGGAATTCTATGCTGCTATAAAAAGAAGGAATTCTTATCATTTGCAACAACATGGATGGAACTGGAGAGCATTATGCTAAGTGAAATAAGCCAGTCAGTGAAAGAAAAATATCACATGATCTCATTTATGGGACCCTTTCACAGGGGTCGCCTAAGACCATCCTGCATATCAGATATTTACATTACGATTCATAACAGTAGCAACATTACAGTTATGAAGTAGCAACGAAAATAATATTATGGTTGGGTCACAACATGAGGAACTGTATTTAAAGGGCCAGAAGATTGAGAACCACTGGGGTAAGAGATCAACCAGAGGACTTGTATGCATGCATATGAGCAACACCAATGGACACAGACGGGGGAAGGGGAGGACATGTACTGGGGGTGTGGACGGCTGGGGAGAGGTCGATGGGGGAAAAAGAGACTTATGTAATACGTTAAACAATAAAGAATTTAAATTTTTTAAAAAAGCATGTGCTATGGAGCCAGACACCCTAGTGCAGCCGTGGGCAAACTACGGCCCGCGGGCCGGATCCGGCCCGTTTGAAATGAATAAAACTAAAAAAAAAAAGACCGTACCCTACCCTTTTATTTAATGATGTTTACTTTGAATTTATATTAGTTCACACAAACACTCCATCCATGCCTTTGTTCCGGCCCTCCGGTCCAGTTTAAGAACCCATTATGGCCCTCGAGTCAAAAAGTTTGCCCACCCCTGCCCTAGTGTCTAATCTGGGCTTTGCTACCTATTCACTTTGTGACCCCGAGAAAGTTATGTAACCTCTGTGAGCCTCAGTTTACTCATCTATAAAATAGGAATACTACTACTACCTCTCATGGAATTGCTGTGAGGTTTAAAAATGAGGTGATCTATGTAAAATATTTAGAACATTGGCACATGGCTTAGAAATGCTATTTTTTGTATTTTATTTTTATGATGTCTACAAGACATCTAGTTAGGCCATTAGACATGTAGGTTTGAATAGAGAGAGATGTGAGCTGGACTTTAAATCTGGGGAATCAGTAGAATCTAGTGAATGTTAAAGCTACAAGTCAATTAAGAACATTCATGAGGAAAATAAAATATATATGTATATGAATATATATATATATGAAATAGAGAGAGAGGGAGAGGAAGAGAAAATGGTAGAGCTGAGGCTTCTCCCCACCCCCTTTTTTTTTATAATCCACATGTATGTATATACAACAATGATAATAGAAAAAGACCAAGGACAGAACTTAGAGAACAAAATACCCAAGAAGAGAAACAACATGAAGAAGATAAAGAGCAATTAAAGGTAGTTAAAGAACAAGGAGAGAATGGTGCCTGAAAAGCCAAAGGCAGAAAAATTTTCAAGGAGGGAGGGGATCAATAGTGCCAAGTGATCAGGATTGGAAATAGGCCATTGGATTTTGAAATTAGAAGATCACTGTTGACCTTTTCGTGAACTGTGAAAAAGCTGAACTGTGAAAGGTAATTTAGGAAACAGAGAAAACAAGTATCAATGATTCTTTTAGAGATTTAAACTATAAAATGTAAAAGGAAGATGAGAGGCTAGTTCAAAGGTAAGTAGGATCAAAAGAAGGTGTTGTAGTATGAGGGAAACTTGAGAATGCTACTGAGCTGAAGGGAAGTCAATGAAGAGAGAGTATATGAATGTATGTGATTTACTGTCTTATCTATGTTTTGAAGTACTGAAGATAATGAAAATGCTATCTCAGATATAAAATTTCACTTTAAAGATGAGCTAGAAAACTGTGAGAAGTTAATAATCTGTTTTAAAACACAAAAAAGAAAAAAGGTATATAGTTGTTATTTAAAAATATAATTAGTCCTGTATTTTAACAGAATTACTTCCTGAGACTTTAATAACATTTTGAGAAGTCTCTGGATACTACCGAAATAGAAAAGTCATTCTGTTAAAATACAACACTAACTATATTTTTTAAACAACAAATTTAAACTTACTTTTCATTCTGCATTCTCAATATATTTTTGAGCTTTTAGATGATATTTTTTCATTCACATGAAATAGTCCAAATAAATAAACCCACAATTCTGGGAGAGTAACAGGCTCTGTATATAACAAATTATTAATTTTTGTAGCTCATTAGAATAGGAAATTTCAATTTTTTGATTTGCAGGTGTTTGCATCTGTAGCAAGTATTCAACAATTTCTTGAATACCTAACAAGATGTCTATAATTCTTCAATATGTTTACTTGTTAACAACTTGCCATTTTATCAGTCTATTCAGCCCAGCTTCCTGAAGACTGGAAAATGTCATTCCCTTCTCATCATTTTGGGTGAACTACTCTATGACAGAGGTGTCATTTTAAAGGTCAGACAATTCAATATATTAATGTTGACATCACAAAGACCTGGCTTCAAATCAAAGCTCTACCCCTCAACAGCTATGCAATTTTGAGTGAGCTACGTAATGAAAACACTCACTATATCTAAAACACCTAATTACTCCTAAACAAGCATTACAAGACAAGTACAAACTCCTACATATGACTGATAGTCAAAGAAATTTAGCTGGGTAAGCCAAAGGAACAAGGACAAAATTTTCAAGAAATCATCTAAAAAGATAGTTTTCATACTTTTCAGTAGGGATATTAAATTTTATTTAGACACATTTTATAATAAAAAGTGTATTGTAAAAAAAAAAAAAACTGAGCCCAGCTGGTGTGGCGCAATGGTTGAGCATGGACCTAAGAACCAGGAGGTCATGGTAGGATTCCCAGTCAGGGCACATGCCTGGGCTGCGGGCTCAATCCCCAGTAAGGGCGTGCAGGAGGCAGCCAATCAATGATTGTTTCTCAGATGTTTCTATCACTCCCTCCCTCTCTGAAATAAATAAAAATATAATTTAAAAAGAAGAAAAAAAATAACTGGAAGTAAATATCCCAATTATTTAAAAAAACGTAATATCCTGGACATAAATGGCACACCATAACAAATTATCCAAACTGCTCATTATAGTTGGAGCAGAACTAACAATGAACAAATTTCCTTAAATATCTGAAGAGTGATTATAGCTTTATAACACTACAGTATTCTCTTTCGACAAGCCAATTTATCTATCTGCTATAGCTTCAAATGCTGGTGAAAAAAAGAACCAACAATTGATAATAAGATAAAAAAGAGAAAAAGAAAATGCTTACTTTATATCAGGTAAGACATTTTAATATTTAAACACTCACTGCTAAATAATAGTACCTACATAGCTGGGTTGTTGTGAGAATTAAATCAGATAATACACATAAACTGTTTAGCCCAGGATCTCACACTATAAGTATGGTTAATAAATATGCATTCTCACCAGTCAAGAACAAAGTTATCTTTCATAAAATAGGTCATTTCCTGAAGTTATCTAAGAAAAGATACTGAGTTTTGTCATTTTCTAAAGAAAACATTTAGGCTGGGTCTATACAGGTTGTCAGGTAAACACTGTCCTAAGAGTTGCAATTCAATCACCACGATTCTGGTGAGTCAGACTTCTGAATGCTGGGTATGGCACAAAGAGAGATGCACTTTGTTTTTTTGTTTTTTAATTTCTAGAAGCCCACAGACATCGTTAACACTTTTTAAGATAATGACATTGGCTGGATTGTTTGTGCTGTTGCCCTGATTATTACTAAGGCTTTAATTTCTGCAGTTTATTGCATTAATCACTAAATTTCTACCCAAATATTAATGATAATCCTAATCATCATATTTGTAATAATCCAAAGTACTTTTTCTAATTTTAAACCATTTGTTATTCTCACAGACAAAACTTCTAGTTTTTATGAACAACTAAGCAACAGGAAGAATTTCATTTTTATGTTCCATTCAATTTAAGTGTTAGCACAAATGGCATCACACAAAATGAGTCCTCTAAATATAATTCTAGAAGCAATTTAAGACAAAACTAGACTCACCTGTAATTGCAAAGCTTCATGATTTTCTAACCCTTCCACAATTGGTGAAAATCGTTCTCTGTTATATCTTTCTGCTGCTGTAGTTATAGCCCCTAAAAGTTTCTCTAGACTAGAGAGAAAAAAATAGAAAAGGAATGAAACATATCTCACACACACATTGTGAATATGGGGTTTTCTCTATCAGATTTCCCTGCTTTCTTTTTGGTGTTTGATCAGTAGATAGATCACCACAATTAAAGAATTGTGTTTCTATCTGCATATTTCAACACATCAAATATTAAATAATTTTAGGGCATCAACAAGAAAATTCAATTTAAAAATCTTGAGGACATTTTTTTTCTGGGTGACAGTTTTCAAAAGATACTTAACTGATAAACACTGAAATTTAAAATTTCAGGTTTTGATATTTTGTGTAACAGATATTAATTAATATCTCTGCAACCCCAAATGGTACCTACAAATATTAAGTTTATTCAAGTGTAACCTGACTGTAATTGTATTTATTTATTTATTTTGAATTTTTATAAGATCTCAAATGCTCTCCCGAATGAAATTTTATAATAAAGTGCTAGAAAGAGTAAAAAATTTTAAAAAGAACTTAAAAACATTAACATTCTTTGAAAATGGAATAAACAATACCTGAAAGAGAATGCCTAGGCAATTAGAGAAGCATCTATAATCACCTAGCACAAGAAACTCAGTTACCTGAACAAAATAATAAAGACTATCTCTTGTACAGCGTCTGAGTCAAATTCAATTCTATGTAGTATACTACCCTTATAAAATTATATCTGAAATTATATTTAAAGCATATCAAATATAGCAGGGTAGGATGAATTATATGAATTAAGTACTGAAGCCTCAGTTTTGCATATGTTACCTCATTTATAGCTTGTTCTCACTGAGATAAGATTTAATGCCATATGATAATATTTTTGTATGTTTGTCTTTTGGTTTCTAAGGACACATTAGCCAGCACTAACCAACATCTCATTTTATTCTAGCAGGTATGAAAAAGTCAACGCATTAGAATATTCCTAACTCTTTGCATAGCCCTGTTCAGATTCAAATGGAAATTACTGCTGGCTTGCAAAGTGTGTAGAGGAAACATTTTAGTTCATGTCCTTAGCAGGTATTTCATTATTTATCACAATTGTTTCTTATTAACTAGACATATTAATGACATTAAATTTGAAATTTTGCTTCTGATTCAATATTATTTCCATAAGAAGAAATGATCTAATGCAGGGTCAGCAACGTATGCTGAAACTGGCACTTTTACCACAGACTTTCTAAAAAATTACCCAGACGTTCTGTTCTTTCTTTTTTAACAGATTAGTTTATTTCATTCTATGAATGATTGCTTTATCTTTTCACTTACCATAGGCAGATAAAATACTTCTATAAAATAATAGTACAAAATAAAAGAATCTAGTTAATTTAATTAGTTCAAGTAGCCAAATTTTGTGATGTGCATGTGTGTGTGGGGGGTTGCAGGGGTAGGGGTGGGCGTGGGTGTGTGTGTGTGTGTGTGTGTGTGTGTAAGTGTATGTGTGTGTGTGTATAGCCAAAGTTACTCTGATTATTATCCTATATTTCTAGTAATTGCTTTACCGTAAGCAAGACAAAATTCTATTCATTCACTTTGAATCCAACTTTGAAGAATTTCCCATTAGGATTCTATCTGTTTAAACCTATTTTTCAAAGAATCAAACAAAGCTAAAATGTAAATAGATAAGATAAAAATGCTACTAATTTTTTCCTGAAATTTCACATTATTTTCATGCAAGTTATCTAAAGAAACAGCATACAAGTAGGACTTATTAATTTCTCAAGTGTCATTTTTTATGCAATTAATATAACATAGCAATACTTACATGTTATCTTCTCCGACAATGCAAATAGCAGAAAGTATTTTTACTATTTCAGTCATCATGTTGGGTTGTTTGGGGTCAATAGCTCTTGCCAATAGTAAAAGACTTCTTTCATCTCCTAGAATCCTTTGCAATCCAAACTTAAGAAAAAAAGAACTTTCATTCACAATGTCTTTGGAACATATCTTTAATTTAAGAAATACAACTTACAATGATTTTCTAAAAACCCATACCTCCACAATAAGGTTCTACCTAATTATATGACCGTTCTTTAAACAAGCAGTTATTTGTCTTTGTTTTTTATTTGAAATGACTGCATCTTGGAGTTTTTAGCCCTAGATCAGATATGATCTCCATTAGCCTGTCTGAAATTCCATAAAGATCTGAGAGAAATATGGGAACAATCAGTATTTCTTCAACAAAGAAGAACATGTAAAGCACATACTGATATGATTTTCTAAAGTAATTCCACTTATGTCACTGGTTCTCCCTGGAGATATCTGCAATTCATGGTTAAATTCTCCAATATGTTTGTAGAAAACATTAAGTTGAACAAAAGGGGTGAAATGTTGAAAAGCTCTCTGTATGCTATATTCCAGGGAAAGCAAGAAGCCTCTGTACAGATTGTCCTAGACCAGTGATGGCGAACCTTTTGAGCTCGGCGTGTCAGCATTTTGAAAAACCCTAACTTAACTCTGGTGCCGTGTCACATATAGAAATTTTTTGATATTTGCAACCATAGTAAAACAAAGACTTATATTTTTGATATTTATTTTATATATTTAAATGCCATTTAACAAAGAAAAATCAACCAAAAAAATGAGTTCACGTGTCACCTCTGACACGCGTGTCATAGGTTCGCCATCACTGGCCTATACCTTCTCTGTTATCCTCTCCCTTCAGGCAGCTGTGCTGCATTCTGAAAGCTATGAACCCAAAGAAATGGCACCTGGATTTCAATAAGTGTCACATTCAACTGGGCAGAGAAGACACCCCTTTCCAGTCCTGAATATGTGTGCGCAAGTGCGCATTATAAAAATGAATAGGTATAGACATTTTAAAGAAAGCCCAAAATGTGGGTTTTCACTACATTAAGGTAATATATTCTTTGATCTTTGTCCCACAAAGTATTTCTCAGGTTTCTGATGAAACAGGTTTGTGTTTTTTTTATAGTCTAATGGTGAAATCTGACAACATTTCATCAGAGTAAAATGGCCATTTCAAGCTAACCTTTAGTTAAGTACCAAGCATATGAAGACTTTCATGGTTACTAATTTAACTTCTAAAAGAATTCATGGGGAAATAACTAAAGCTCTTAAATGTAACTTTAGCAGAGGTCAAAATAAATAAGGAAATAAAAGAAAAAAACATAAAAGGAAATGGAAGAGACAAAATATAAAAGCAGCAAAGAAAACAGAAGGAATATGTATGCATAAAGGTGGCCAGTGGATAATAAATAGTAAAAAAAATAAGTGAAAAACACAGGTGTAAAACTGACAGATGATTACCACATAATTACCAAACTTAAAATAACAACTTTAAAAATCATACTGAGAGTGAAATCATTTAAATTTTCAACCGAAGGACTTGTATGCATGCATATAAGCATAACCAATGGACATAAGACACTGGGGGATAGGGGAAGCCGGGGAAATGTCAAGAAGGGGAAAAAAGGAGACATATATAATACTCTTTGTAATATTTTAAGCAATAAAACAAAATTTTAAAAAAAGTATGATAAAAAAATAGATCCAAAGACAAAGAAGCATTGAACTGACTGTCAAATCTCAGAGGGAAAGCAGGGGAGGGTGGGAAAAGGGGGTACAGATCAATGTCTTTGAGGGGCATTATTTTATTGTTTGACATATATGCTGTGTGCAGCAGTCCTCATAGTTGTGACTGTCATAATCAATGAACTTGCAGATCAACCAATGAACTTGCATGCATGTAAGCATAACCAATAGACACAGACAATAGGAGGGTGAAGGCTTGTGGTGGGGGATGGGGAGAAAAAGGGGACATATGTAATATTTTCAACAATAAAGATTAGAAAAAAAAATTTTAAAAATCATACTGAGAGTGAAATCATTTAAATTTTCAAATTTCCACTTATTGTTTAAAAGTATTTTATAATATGTAGGGATATATTGATAATAAAAATTAAGGTATGAGTAATAATGAAAAAACATAAATCTAAACCTCAGAGCAATATTACAGCAAAGGAGGTTAAGAAGAAATTGATAGCTTTTTATGATCCTATTCTGACATGCACTGTATAAGGAAAAATAATTTTTGAAGTAGGTAATATAAACTCCTTAGGGCCAACAAATTTGATGTTTAAGTCATTTCAGATGAAACTTTGATTCTTTGATTATGACAATTTATTCCAACATGAAGTGGACTTATCACTATATATTTTTATTTTGAATGCATACTTTTGCCTATTATTTCATATGCCTATAATTTAAAATATCCACCATGTATTCATGTTCTGAGCCTCTATGTGCAAGATATTAACATGCCCTAACTTAACCTTAGTTTAGAACAATCTAAGTCAAACCATTATGTTTGTATGGAAAATACAATAATTAATAATACTACAAGAATAAACACTGTGTTTTGCATATTCACAACTGTAAGCCTACTTTTGCCCCACCCTGTATATACACACTTACATGTAATCCCATATAATTAAGAAAGCCTTTGAAGATTACTTAGACTATCTTACTGCATTGGTTATTAATAGTTATATTTCACATTTGGCAAGTTTTTGCTTACTGTTATAATTATTTATGTCTGTTAATATTTGAGATTCTGAAAATACCATCTAAAGGAAATTAAGTAATTAGTAAATTAAGCAGTGGTATTTTACTTATGGAAATATAAAGCAAATCATTTCTAAGACAGTAACAAAATAGTTTATAGAAAAAAATAACTTTAAGGAACTCAACATTTGCAACAGCACGAATGGCCCTGGAGAGCATTATGCTAAGTGAAATAAGCCAGTTGGAGAAAGACAAGTATCACATGATCTCACTCATATGTGGAATCTAAGAACAAAATAAACCGATGAACAAAATAGATCCAGAGACATGGAACCATGGAACAGACTGACAAATCTCAGAGGGAAGGTGTGGGTGGGAGTTGGGGGAGTGGGGTGAGATTAAACGGGGAACATATATGCATAGCCCATGGATACAGGCAATAGTGTGGTGAAGGCTTGGAAAGGGTGGTGAAGGGTAGAGGGGATCAATGGGGGAAAAAACAAATGGACATTTGTGATACTTTCAACAATAAAGATAAATTTAAAAAAAACAACAACTTTAACTTCATAACCTTAGCACAAACTACTTTTAGAAAAAAAACCCTTGTATGGATTATTTCGTTGAGTCCCTCATAATGCAAGAAAACCCCACACTATTTTCCAGAAATGTCTTTTACGTATGTTAACTGACATTAATTGAACATAAAAGAAAGAGAAATCTTAACCTTATAATGTTCTTAGCAAACAAGTCAAACCATGGCTTTGAATTTTCCTTTTCAAAGGAATAAAAACACTAAGAAAATTCTATTCTATATTTGACATCTAAATTTTTCTCCACTATAAAAGAAAAAAGGCATTATCTAATTTGGGAATAAGACTTATGTGTTTTCATGATTGTAAAAACTTACCAATAAATATTTTGTGAAGGAAAATATATTTTAAATACTATTTAAATGAACCATGATGATTTGCATCAGAAAGACCTTTCTGTAAACTGAATAAGCACAAACTATTGTGTATGTTTCATACTTTCATACTGTTGGGTAAGTTCTCACCCTTTGTGACAGAGGCAGAAATAAACACTACTTACCTTATTATTCATAAATGCTTTGAGGCACTGAATAAGTTTATGCTGATTCTTCTTGTCAATATTTTCTTGCCTGAATAAAAGAAAAGAAAAACCTATTATACTGTGCCTAAACATTTCCCCTTCGGTGATTTTTTCATGTTTATTCTTACTGTTTCTTGTCCAGAAGCTTTTCCAGCACATCCAGTAAGAGTCCAAGACCTTCATGGCCAAAGTTGTTAACCCAGCTAGGAAATAAACAAACAAAAAAAAATGCATAAATCAGTTTGTATATTGAAAACATGAAGTATCTACAATGAAATTTTGATTTTCAAATATGATAATTATATCTTTATACTGCTCATCATTCTTTTTTCTACTCCAATTGCTTCAAGCATCCTCTGTGAGGATGACTCAAGATCTTTACCTCAATGTCACAATTCTCTTCACATTTTAGATTGCCCACTCCACAGCCCTGCCTTGGTTGTTTCTCCAGCAACAAATACTTAAACCTAAACTTATAAGCCAAATTTATCTTCCTCTGTGCCCCCGCTTCCCAAAATCAACTCCTCTTCCATTCTTCCATGTTGTTAATTATACCACTATACTTTTAATCATTCAGACTTGAAATATTTGCATAATCTGTGACCCCTCATCAATATTTTTAAAATATATTTTTATTGATTTCAGAGATGATGGGAGAGGGAGAGACAGAAACATCAATGATGAGAGAGTATCATTGATCGGCTGCCTCCTGCACACCCCCTATTGGGGATTGAGCCGGCAACCCGAGCACGTGCCCCCCCACCGGAATCGAACTCGGGACCTTCCAGTCTGCAGTCCAATGATCTATCCACCGAGCCAAACCAGCTAGGGCCCCTCATCAATATTTATTGAGTGCATATATGTTGTACCAGCATGTTCTATCTAGGTGATAGATATATAACAGGCATCAAAAGTAAGCCCTCACCCTCATATAGGTTACCGTCTCAAAGAGGGAGACATGATAACCAGATAAACATATAATAAAATGTCACTGCTTTGGTGCGATGAACAAAAATAAACATTGCTATAACCAATGGACATAAGACACTGGGGGGTAGGGGAGGCCAAGGGATTGTCAAGGGCGGGGGGGAAAAAAGGACACATATGTAATACCCTTTGTAATACTTTAAGCAATAAAAAAAATAATAATAAAAATAAAATAAAATTTAAAAAATAAAATAAACATTGCTAAATGGAACAGGAGTGGTCGGGGACACATTCTCGATTAAGGTGGCATTTGTGTAGAGCCTTGAAGAAAATAAGGACTTTCCCAGGAGGGGGAATAAGTGCAACTGGGTACTGAGGTGGTAGCTAGTGTACTTGGAAATTCCAGGAGCTGTGAGGAAACCTGAGTGGCCAGAGCTGAATAACGGGGCCTGGGTGAGCAGCAAGAGATGAAGTCCCATGTGTGCTAGAAGGCTGGAGACTAATCAGGTAGAGCTTCCTTTGACTTTTTATTATCCAGTCCTGAATATTCTACTTCTAGAAGGTCTCCCACACATGCGCTGGCCCTCCTTTCCGTTGTCTCTGCTAACATTCTAGTGTAGCCCTAGTCACCTTAACAAGCCAGGAACCTCCCAACCAGGTTCTCTGCAGCTTCATTTGTTCTTTTATTCATTTTACAAAATATCACACTTGATTGAACTTAACTAGTCTTTTGTCCAAAGTTTTCCTCTGCACTACCTCACACATTTCAAATCCTGACTCTGATCTAGCGTCAACCTACCTTTACAGCCTCGGGCCTTATACCACATGTTCTAGTGAAAGTCAGACACTGTCCTTCCTGGAGTCCTCCCTGCAGTTCCCTGCATTTCTTAATTTATGTTTCTTTCCATAAGGCAACCCCAACTCCATCTCTCCAAATCCTTCAGGGCTCAAGTTGACTGTCAATTCCTCCATTAGTGTTTTTCCCCATAAGCCTTCCATCCAAATAGGAGTTACTGTTCCTTTGAACACCCATGTATCTTTATTTCTTATTGTTTGATTATGCCGTTCTTGTCACACATGTCTTACATACCTTTCTGTGAAGACAGTTATATTATCTCATTTATCTTTCTGTCTTCAATAATACTTAGCAGGCTAGCTTATATATAGTCAACACTAAGTAAATATTTGCTAATTCAAATTTAAATAAACTTACTGACTTGTGTGATTAAGAGAATCAGTAGTCTCATATTGCCCAAGAACTTCACAAATGTAAATTAATATATAGCAGACTCCTATAAAGCAAAAATTAAAATCTATACATATTTAAACAATGACTATATTTCTATTTCAGTCTTTAAACTACATTTCATGTCTTCATAAGGTAAAGCTTATCAACAAAATAGCTAAATTTATAAGAAAATATCAGTAAGAATCATCAGATCACTGAAAAGATATTTTAAAAAATAGCTCAAATATTCAAAACCAATCACATCCACAATATCATTTTAAACAAATTCTGCTTTAATTTTCACAGTGGAAATGAAAAAAATCAATATGGCATTGTAATGATAATTGGCAGCAAGCTACTATTCAATTGAGGCATGTAATCAACCAGTACAATGAGCAATTTTCTCTAAAGACTCTTGATAATCAGCTGGGCAGTGGTGGAAGGATAAAAGGACACCAGCTCTAAGCATAATAAATTATATTTAATCCATCACAGAGAGAAATCAGCAGATATCATTACAGCACAACATACCCTACAGCAACATTAAAATAATAGTTCTGACCAAATTTCAGATCTCATTTGGCATTTGGGAAGGATAAAATGATCTCTGAATTCCTCACATTTAACGCATACAAATTGTTTTTAAGATTCTAAATTTTACTCGTACTCTTTTTATACCTAGTACTATTAATATTATTAGGGTGATTTCTTCCTGGGGCTAGGAAATTGTTTGATACAAGGGCATGATTTATATCTGTTCACTTGAAATCAGTCACCCACCCTACACACCCCAGACTGCTTCAAATTGAGCAGTTTATGGTACTTTGATTTCATTTAGTGCAAATTACTATTGGTCTGGAAAAATTAGGACACAATCACGAAACTTAAGTGTGAGGAGGTGGGCCTATTTGTAACAAACTAGGCCGTGAAAAGTCTTAACCAAGAATATCTTGGGCCAATGGGCAGAGGAGGCCTAGTAAGAATCCTCAGAACTTTGACAGAGAATAGGAGTCCAAAGGGAGCCTGTTGCTAAGGGGATAAAATGATAATGATGCAGCATGAGAAGGATAAAAGAAAGGGGGCAACTAGACATCCCTTTTTTTACCTTTTTCTTTTGCCAGCATCATTTCTCTGCTTTTAGGCACTGGACACTTTATGGCCTCTAGCCAAACACTATTTTCTCCCACTCTCTCCCTCTCCCCATGACTCATAAGCAGTTTAAAAACAAAATGCTGGCTATGATAGTTAAGCAGGAATTTTGACACTGTGACACAAGAAGTAAGCATAAATCAGTGGTTCTCAAGGTGTGTGTCCCAAACCAGTAGCATCAATATCATCTAGGAACTCATTAGAAATGCAAATTCTTGGACCCCAACCTAGACCTATGGAATGAGTAACACTGGGGGTGGGGCCAAGCAATGTGGGTTTTAACTACTCCAGGTGATTCTGATGCTTGCTCAGGTTTGGGAACCAGTGATATAGAAACATGGTTTGCTAACAAGTGGAAGAGCCTTTCTCAGGAAGCACTGAGGCTCAAAACTCAAGATTGCTTTATACACCCTGCCAACCATACTGAACACTCCCACTGCCACAGGACAGAGATACAGAATCCAGTCAAAGCAAGTATATTTGGTATATTTTACAGAGCATGCAAGTTCCAGCTCTGAGTTATTCAGTACTAATTGGAATATCTAAAAAATATAAAAATAGGGCTCTAGCTGGTTTGGCTCAGTGGATAGAGCATTGGCCTGCAGACTGAAGGATCCCAGATTTGATTCCAGTCAAGGGCACATGCCTGGGTTGCTGGCTCGATCCCCAATAGGGGGCATGCAGGAGGCAGCCAATCAATGATTTTCTCTCATCATTGATGTTTCTCTCTCTCCCTCTCCCTTCCTCTCTGAAATCAATAAAAATAAATAAATAAAAATACAGTTGATGACTTGATTTAAAATCTGATTCCAAGACTGCAAATAAGGACAGATAAACACAAATTTAAGGACAGATAAACACAAATTTTCTATTATATCTCAACTCTGAAACAAGGAATTGCAATTTATCATGGTCCCTAAATTTATAAGAGGCATAGAAGCAGCCAGGGATAATGAACAACCAAACAGAAGAAAAAATGGGGAAGGAGATTGATCTCTCATAATTTCCATAACCACTCTAAAATACAAGTTGTTTTTTTCTAATATATCATTTACATACAGAAGAATTCATCATTTTGACAAAGGTATAGTCATGCAATCTCCAACACAAACAAGATATGCAACATTTCCATCACTTCAAAATATTTTCTCTTTTTTCCTTTGCAGTCAATCCCTTTTCCCTACTCCCAGGTCCCTGGCAACCACCTATCTGATTTGTGTCCCTATAGTTTTGCTGTTTCAAGAATATCTTTAGAAATGGAATCACACAATGTGCAGGATTCTGTGTCTGGCTTCTTTAACTTGGCATAGATGTTATTATATTCAACAATTAGGTGCATGGATCAGCAGTCTACTCCTTTTTATCGTATGGTTATGCCACAATTTATTTTATACATTCATCAGTTGATGAGCATCTAAACTGTTTCCAGGTTTTGGTGATGATGAATAAAGCTACTAAAAATATTCACATGTAAGTTTTTTGTGTAAGCATATGTTTTCATTTGCTTGGGAAAATAATTAGGAGTTGAATTGCTGGCTCTTATGGTAAATGTATGTTTAACTTTTTTACAAAACTACTTTCCAAAGTGGAATTCCTTCAGCAAAGTGTAACAGTTCCAATTGCTCCAAATCCTTCCAGGCACTTCATACTGTCAATCTTTTCAACTTCAGCCATTCTGAACACTATTTTCAGACACGGAAACTGAGAAGCAAAGTAGTCAAGTAATTTGCCAAACATCACTCAGCAAGTATGATTTCTAGGACTCAAACCCAGATCTGACTCCAAAGCTCATGCTTATTTGAAACATACCATTAAAAATTAATAACAGGACCAGTGTACAATTTTCTAAAACAATATCTGGCTAATGGCTCCACCAATAACTCACTGAAGAA